ACGGCGCTAAACCCGTTCTTTACCAGTTGTTGAAGCGAGTATGCGACAACAGTTGGTTGAAGACGAGTGATACGAATGATATGATAAAGTCTTGTCACTAGCTCGTTTTAACAGCTGGCAGAGAACGGGTGATACCGCGCCAAACTCATCCCGCCTGACACGTCCCTTCGTCCGCAGCCAACTAGACTATAACTCTTATGGGTGAATTAATTGTGAAACCTTGTCCAGTGTAAGACTGGAATTCAGGGGAGCAAGTATTTATTTCTTTAACAAGGCAACCATAATGAGGTGTGTGCATCTTGTGAGGTGTGGGCATCTTGACCCCTTCTTCTTCTTCAACGTTTGTCCAGCTCTGCATCAGGGTCCGCTCATCTTATTTTGTCACGCCACTTCTCCCGATTGAACGCTTCATTGGGATGGGTGCCAACTACCTTTAATCCGCATGCAACGTGTCTGACCAGCCCTGCTTGGGACGTCCTTTAGGCCCTTCAGGCCTCTTTCCGGGGACCTCGAGCTCAAGACCAATCCTACGGACGGTGTCACAATTCGCGCGAAGAACACGAGCATACCACTGAAGGAGAGCTTCGCGCATTCTCTAGGCCACAGGAGCTACACCGAATCTCTTACTTAAAGACACATGGTACGCTCAAACACACTTGAGGTGTAATGAGACTAAACAGCCCCCCAGCTGGTCGATGTATCGTGGTCCCCCCGCTCAAACATGCCCAGGAATGGAGATACAGGACCGTGGGAAGGCTTATTCCTTGCTACTCCGCCCAAAATTCACCGCGCGCGAGTTGCAATTTCGTCGCGCGCGGCGCGTGAATTTTGGGCGGAGTAGCAAGGAATAAGCCTTTCCCACACGGTCCTGTATCTCCATTCCTGGGCATGTTTGAGCGGGGGACCACGACACATCGACAGCTGGGGGGCTGTTAGTCTCATACACCCTCAATGTGTTTGAGCCGTACCATGTGTCTTTAACATTGCGTATGCGATCCATACGCGTGACACCGGCGGTCCATCGCAACATTTTCAACATCTTCATCTCCAACTACTCCTAGGCGCGCCTCAACTTCTTTGGTCGTAAGCCAGCATTCAGCGCCGTATATCGCGATTGGTCGAACGACGGTTCTATAGATCTCGATTTGAGGCGATCTGGTATCGTCTTGTCGCAGAGAAAGCCACTCATATAGCGCCACTCAGACCAAGCTCCAGTCACGCGTGCGCTTACTTCTGAGTCGAGACTACCGTCAGACGTGATTGTTGATCCGAGGTATTTGAACGTTCTCGTTCGCGTGAGCACCCTGCCGGTGACCCTGAGGGAACCAGACTCGTCCAGGCCAGTCGTCAGGTACTCGGTTTTCTTGACGTTCAATCTGAGCCCGAAGTTTGTTAACTTCAGTCCAAACTTGCACTTGTTCCGAGACCATTCTTATCAGGCGAGCATCACATCGTCAGTGTAGAGAAGCATCCAAGGAGCCGGCTTCCAAAGGTCCCGTGAAATAATGTTTATGACGACAACGAAGAGCAGCGGGGAAAGCGCTGAGCCTTGGTGCACCTCAGCTGTGATGGGCAACCCCATCGAAATGCCTGCTGGACTTCGCACTCGACTCGTCTGGTACGGGCACGCCGTGCTGGCGTAAGGCATACCAGATAACTTCACGTGGGACACGGTCGAATGCCTTCTCCAGATCAAGGAAGGCTAGGCGGTCATGCTTCTTTTTCTCACGATGTTTCTCTAGCAAGAGGCGAGCGGCTATGGCGTCGATGGTGCTAAGCCAGTCGCGAAGCCAAAGTGGTTGGTAGGGAGCTGGACGATATCACCAAGACGCTTATCAATTTGCTCTAAAATTTTCATGCTGTGCGAGAACAAGCGAATTGGACGGTTTGAGCAGTCTGCAGAACTGCCTTTTTTCTTTAAGATCGGTACCGTCGTGCTCTCTTGCCATACTTCGGGCATTTTCTTCTCTGCAACGATCTGATTGAAAAACATTGTCAACCATTCGCATGCCAGCAGTGTGACTTCCTTATTTCGACCGCCACATCGTCAGGGCCGGTTGCCTTGCCTGGCTTCATCTTCTTGAGAGCCGCCTCCGTTTCCTTCACGGTTATCTTCTGAACGGGACCGTATGTTGGTAAGGCGCAGGGGATGGCCGGGTGTTCCTATTCCACTGTAGAAATTCCTCCAAAGTAGTCACGTCATCGCACCTTTGTTCAGTCCGTCAGCACCTTTGTTCAGTCCATCAGAAGGCGGCCTCTCTTCGTTGATGCCAAAGAATTTCTCTACATCTTCGGTCTGACGGTGACGAGCCTTGGCAAGTCGGTAGGTGTGAAATTCGCCATCGCGCTTCCCGTTTCTTGCTGATATCTTCGAAGTGAGCGGCTTTTGTAGCAGCCACAGCCTTCTTTGCCGTACTTCTCGCCTCCTGATATTTCCGCCAGTTGCCAGCTTGCTTGTCTTCGAGGAACAAGTGACAGCGCTTCTTCTTCTCGTGTTTACCCTGACGTCATCTGTTCACAACCATGCGTGCCTTTCAATTCTACGCCTTCCAGGTTTCGTTGTGCCAAGTTTAGAGCGAGCGGGTTGGCAGCATTCTTCCACGTAGCGTCGACAGATGTGACGGTTGGTAATCGAATGCGAGAGATCACAGCTGCCTCCTTTTCCTTAAGATGCCACCATCTGATCCTCTCGGGCACATCGCTGTATTTATTTCGACCTGGGCAGCGTTACCTTAAGCGTACAGATAAGCGGGCGATGTTGTGAGGCTACTGTCTCATACGGTCTTCACGTCTGTGACAAATCCTTGATCGCGGTGCCTGACAAGAACAAAGTCTGTTTGTTTTGGCGCTCCCGCTGTAGAAGGTTATCAAAGATGCGTTCGCCATCGGCGTTACGTGTTCCATAACGAAACCACCATGACAGCTGTAACCGTCTTCCGTTGCGCCCACGTGCCCGCTAAGGTCACCAGCGACAATTATGACGTCCTCTGATACTACCTCAGCTGTCTTCTCCTCCAGCAGAGACCAAAACTCATCCTTTGATTGTTCAGCGCATCCCGTTTGTGGAGCATATGCAGAGAAGAAGTGGTACAGTCGCTGCTCGATAGCAAGAACAATCTTCAGCAAACGGTCCTCGAAACGTTTCACGCTAGCTATCGATTCACGGGAACGTCGTGAGACGATTATGGCCACACCGTTAGAGGTTCTTGGGCGGAGGGAAAAACTCACCCATGCGCGTATGCGGCGCCGTTTCTTGACGGCGCCGCGGCGGCAGGGTGGGCGAAGGGTGATCGCTTGCGCCTCCGCCACTGTGCTTCAATCAGAAGCCCTTTTATGCCCCATTATGTGGAAGGAGGATGAGAGAAAAGAGGACTGAACAAGAGAACGCTCATAGGTGAGTTAGTGGTAATGGTGAGCAGAGAATACAGAAAAGTCGAGAATCAGAGCGTATTATTTACAGCAGAACTGACGAATGGAAGTGACGTTATAGCGTTACGAGGTCACAAACAACTGTTGGCAATTTGCAAAACCTCAGCTTGAACTTTCGTGTAAAAGCCGTTCCCACAACCGAAAGGAACAATGCCGCCAATTTTGCTATTCACTGAAGTAATTCGGTAGTCGACTTTCCTGTGATCTCTTACCACTACCACTAACTCACATATGCACCCACTATCTGTTCAATTCCCTTCCTCTCTCTACTTTTCCCTCCTCTTCCTTCTACATAAAAGGGGCTGCTGGATTGGAGCACAGCGCCGGAGACGCGGGCCATCGCCTTTCGCTCCGCCCTGCCGCCGCGGCGCCGTGAAGAAACTGCGCCGCATACGCGCACGGGTTTGTACACGGAGCCGAGGTTCTTGGCTTGCCACAAAGAATGGCTTTGAAAAACCGACCAAGGTCTCTCGACTTGCAACTGGACCATCTTGTTTCCTGCACTGCCAGATCTACTCGTCTGCGCTCCAGTGCCTCTGCTAATTCACATGAACGTCCAGTCAAGGTTCCAACGTTTAACGTTGCAATACGGACTCTAGCTAACCTGCCAGAATTTTGGACTAGCCTGGTCGCCCCCCGATGCAGTCCTTGCATCGAGGACCCTCACATACTTTCCACACTCGCCGGGCCACACGAGTGCGCGTCGGCTCCCGCGGACGCCGCAGCATTATCTCGGGATTCATGTGGCATTGTTAAACATTGTGATGCGACATGGTGTGTTCGTAAGTCGGCCTGTCACAAAGGCCAGTCACCTGCATTCGGATGTCTGCGTTTTGCAGCTCGCAGAGACGATCTCCCAGTGGCACCGTGTGGAGGAGCAGACCTCATCACCCATCTTGATCAAATTTACCTATTATTTATTTAATTATTTAATATTGCACTCAAGGTGTTCCTTTACAAAAAGAAACGGTCGGTTAGAATACACATTGGAAAAAGCGTAAAAGTTACTCGCCATCATAACTCCAAACCACGTGCCCTCATCATTCTGAAGTTAAAAAGAATATAGCAGGGAAGGATGTCGCCACAACCATGTTAAACCAGTCATACAGATGAGGACATTTTTTAACAGTGGTCAACACAATACTGATGTTGAGTTATTTGAGCGAGCGTGATAACATTTGATGAAAGGTCAGTCCGGGCAACACAACTAACCGTGGTTACGAGCCCCAGGCTAAGACCCAGGCCCAAGTAACCAGATGGATAAACGAACCGGCGCTGATCTTCATCAACCAAACTGAGTATAAAACCGATTTTAATTACCCTTCAACTTTACCTCTAGCGCACACCTTTAGTACTTCTAAAGTCGGCTCGAAAGAATTTTAAACAGCTTAATCTTGCTCGCTTCTGATATCTAATCGGAATTCTCAAATAATTAAGGCGAAGCACTGCAAATTACAGGAGAGGTGGGAGGCCCTGAACTCTGTCATTCCAACAAGTAAGTTGATAAACCTTCTTGCACCTGTCTTGCAGTTCATAAAAACCATCAAACATCAAACAAGATTAGGAAATACTCACAATCCTATGGACCCGTCTCTTGGTGGAATGATCGGTGGACGTGGGGGAGGTGGAGCGTGAGTCATGGGCACAGCGTCCGCGAGAGATAAACTGGAGAACGCCGAACTGCCGCCCGTACTGTAACCATTTCATTGAATACCACCGAGTAAAGAATGCAGAACAAAGAGACCTGACTTCAAACTCTGCACTCACCTTATTCCACTGCTCTCCGGTGTATTGGCATTCGTAAGGTTAAGAGTTATGGGCCGTTCCGGTTTGCGCTAAATTGGAAACAAATAGAAAGGTTCGAATGATTGCTGGGAAACCTCTAAACAAGAAAACTCACAGGGCAGTGGATATAGTGATCATTTTGTACAGTAGCACCAGAATGGGGAGGGGCGATGACGTTACCGGAGGAGGCGACGCTATTCTTCGGTGTCATCGTTAAGTATGGCACATTGTTGACGACTTCAACATGAGGTGCAGGGCAAGCAATGTAGGGATCAGTAGACGGGGCAGGAATTCGAGTGTCTAATATACTATATGGTTCTTCGTAAGAGGACGTCGATGGAGGAATAGCCATATGGAGATTCGGCTAAAATATCAAATGAAGAAATGAATCCAGTCAAATAACGGGAACCTACATGGAAAGTGAGTATCACGTACCTGTGACGGAACATGAAGTGGCGATCGTGGAGCATGCCCATTATGAAACGCGTTTTGTCGAGAAATGCCCTTCTCGTCCGATGGAGTGCGACGATGATGGTGCTTCAGAGGAATAGGTGGCGGACCTAAATGTTCGCAGTGATCCCTCTTACAGGCACAATTCGCGGTGAGATAGAGAGAAGAACGCTGGTATCGGATTGGATATGGAAAGTATACGTGCCAGCTGACTTGCTCGGGGAAAAAGCAAAGGAAATGGTTGAAAACGCTCAAAATCAAGCTTTCCCTGTGCAGAGCGAGAGAAAAAAATATGTGGTTTTCAAGCGACAGGCCAGACAAGAGCGGCGACAGAGCACGCAAACGATTCAGAAAACCGACAAGATATCCATCAGTGAGGGCCGAATCACTCACTACCTTTTTGAGGAGTCACTCATACGATCTTGTGCCTTATCCCCCTATCTTATAACTTTCTAACGCCAAATTTTGTACGGGGTTGTTCGCTGCGGTCTCCCGTTCGAAGAGTTCAGATACTTATCGCTGATCGAGGGCCGTGCCTTTAATTTTAAATCACGAATTATCACAAGAACGTTAAGTAGCTGCAAACTTACAATAAGTGCTCTCCGGTGTAGTGGGAATCACATCATCAATGCCGATTTCTCGTCTGGGAGAACGTCCGGATTGATCGTGCAACATTCCGACTCCTAGTCCTTCCGAACCACTTTGTTGAAGCATCGAGGGTTTGACGTATCTTCTGTAAAGCTTGAGCATAACGTCAGCACTCAATTGCACGGAAACTATCAGCGCTGGCCAGCCCGGTTGGTAGTGAAATTCCGCCACAGTTTTTCAAACTCAATACACCTGCCCATATCTGAACAGGTGTTATTATAATGTGAGCAGTAATAAGCAAAGTCTTTCTATCAGTTCCACTCACTCATCTGCTATTTCTCTTTCCTTTGCTGTATAGACAAAAATTCTAAATCCCATTCAACACTAGCTCTCGAACCCCTCTTTCGAAACTTTTTCTTCTAACATCCTTGCTCGAGCATGAGGGTAGCCGAGGGCAAAATAAAGGAGCTGCATAAGGACAATGCACCCAATCACCAGGCGAGCTTAGATGGCGACAATGCTTCCAAGAGGGAGCCTACTGTTCTGAAGGCGAAGTGACGTCTGGATGTATTTGTGAACACAGTGAACAACGGCCCATGAAGTTTTCAGATAAAGAAGCTGTTTCACGGTCAATCCTTGTATAAAACAGCTGCAAGATCTAAATAAATCGTCGAGCGCAAGGAAAAGTTTGTCTGCAGTTTGCCTTCAATATGACAGTGTAGCCAAACCATTCTAAAAAGGTCGAGGCAAATCTCATGCAGTAGAGCTGAATGGCTCTCCCTTTGCGTTGGTGTAGCCCAGACAGTGCTCGCTCCAGCTGCTGGTTGTCTTCCATGCTAGCCTGTTACACAGACGAGGGAAGCTTGACGACCCAAGCCCAAGTCAAAGTTGATACGATGTCTCTGCGCCGCACCAGCCTGCACTGTGAAGCGATGGCATCATAAGCCGCTCAACAACATGTCAGACCACGCAGCAATGCTGTATAGTTTAGATATTATACGTCTCTTCATCTTCAGAAAAAGAGAACCTAATTCCAAATAATATGGCGAGAATTCCCCGTCAACCGAATAAGTTCTGAGTCTATGCAAAGGTGAGGATGCAGAGTTTACTTTTCATTCAACTAAACTCTTGAACAAAACAACACTCACGTTGTTTGTTGTGTGTATTGAATGTCGTGACGCTTGTTCGTTCTATCAGTCGGCGTATTCCGTCCCACTCTGAAATCACAACAAATCAAACTATTACACTTGGTCAACTGACACAAAATATAATTACTGACACTGAAATTAACACTTTGTTCAAATATATCGATTCAAAGGAACCTACTTTGAAGGGGACACCAGTTTTGTATAATCATCTGTACCAGAAGCTGAAGATCGATGACGAGGGGATAAGTGCTAAAAATAATTCGATGTAAGTAACACATACAAAACTATTCGCTATATTCCTGTGAGGCAGCGTTCAGTGTTCGCGATGACGCGCGTCGACGTCTTTTACGCACTATGTTGCGCATCAACGCGCTAAAATTGCAGCAGCGCTCCTTCCCTATAGGCGCGACGCGGCCGCAGACGGGAATAGATTGGTGCCGATTGTGTATTGAGAGAATATGGGAAACTGGAGGATACGCGCTGCCCAAATCGCGCAGCCCTGAAAACGATCGGTATCAATCGGCAGTAGCCGCTAGCGCGAGCTGATATACTGCAGCCTGCGGGTACGTTCGCGTATGTAGCGCTGTAGCAACTGTAGCGTGTTACAGCACGTCGTTGCCACATCGACCCGCGCCCATCGCAAAGTCTGAGCGCTTCCAACGATGCAAAATACGGAAAACAAACAACAACCTCAGAAAAAAAAAATGAAAGTTTACAAGCTAGTTAACATCAACGGACCTCATAGTTGCTTGGAGTGGCTCTTCCTTGATGAGGTGGGGCCAAGGGATTGGTCGGCACAGGTGACAAACGAGCGGATGGCGATCCCTCATCAGAATCGATTGAATGGTTACCACGGCGGAACTGAGAACAATGAGCAATAGATTGAATAGATAGCGTCTGTTCACTACATAAAACTATCATTTTGCTCTTTTTAAATAAATCTTAGATCTTAAGGCAAGAATCGTAACGTTACCTGTGCCGTGTTAGTGAGGTCAATTGTTACAAGACCATTATTAAGCACAGAACTCAAGTTTAGCAGCGACAAATGATTGATCAATAAGGTCTACAACCCCGTTTTGGGTTGATCGGGTTTAATCACAAAGCACCCTTGAACCAAACATGGGAATCGAAACAATTCAGCTTTCTAGGCACAAGTTTAGATGCTTTACATCTTAATAGGAGCCTTATGGATTCACCATACGATACTGATGCTTGGTGGTTTGCTATTCGTTTCAATTCAATTCAGCTTTTATAGAACAAATACAGCGCAGAGTGAAAAGCGAAGTAGTGAAGTATATCCTTTGACTCACTTACCACATGAAACTTCGAGAACCATTTCTTCATTTTACTTGAGTCTTCATGTGTGCCTTCGCTACGTCGCCCAGATTGACCCACTCGTCCCGCTGGGAGATGGTGAGGGCGATTTTCAGCTGAAATACGATGAAATATATAAGGATACGTCAGAAGCACAGAAGTAGGTGAAAAGTTAATGTTCCACAAAAAACCATCCCCTCTGCGGCACAGCACAGCAAAATCAAACTACGTTTGCTCACATAAGAAGTTCGAAGTGGCCTTCCACGATAAAATCCATACATCAGACGATCCTTCATACGCTGATCTTGAAACTGGCCGGGCATTTCTCCTGACGGAGTGATGAAAATTTCCCTCCTTCATGCTGGACAAACGGAAACTACCATCTGTCAGGGGTGAAAATAACTGCAGCCCCCGGAGGCACGGTGCAGTGGAAAGGAGTTTGCCTCACAGGTAAGAAGTCGTAGGATCGATTCCTTGTTTCGCTAGAAGTTCTGCGGGAAATTTGTCCAAAAAGGTTTTAACACTGCCAGTACATTATTCGTCTTCACTTAATCCGAAATGTGCCCATCCAAACGGTTACTAGGCTGTCGTCAAAAGATAAACGACAAGTGAAAAAAGGAAAATGATGCGAGTGTGCATCAAGGCAGCTGATATACCCAAGTTTGGGAGTTTCGGCAAGTCCTTATGACCCAAACGTGGTGAAGGGCTTCTCAGCCGGCTGATACAGGGTTTTGCCGAAGACTGAAGCACTGCTTTTGGAGAGGTTTGTTCAGTTGGGGATTACTTTTGTCACTTTCTAAAAAGGTGCTCCGCTCATTGTGCCACCCACATAACACGACTTTCTTTCGTTTCTACTTCTTTAAGTTGTTGTTTTCTTCTTTGCTTTTGACGCTATGTTCTTGTCAAATCCACCACTACTTTACCTTTACGTGGTTACACGAGTCCTGTACGGGCGTATTTAATAAACAAAGTAATAAATGTTGGAAAGACCGTGCTGTCAACACCAATATTCGCTCCCCACCCACGTAAAAAGACTTGCCGCGACAGCACGTAGCACGCTGTGCCCATAGCATATTGCACAATCACAAAATTAAAAAGAAGGGGACATCCTCAAAACTTGAAGAAAACAAAACTTGCACAACGAACAAACCGTCAGGATCATAAACGGGCGGCACAATCCGGTCGATGTCGTCATGTTGTAAAGCAGGTCGCTTCTTGCGGATAGCATCCTTTCGTTGCAATGTTCCGCATTTCTTTCCGAAATTATCCTCAATTTCGTTCAAGTTCGGATAACTGATGGAGAGGTTCGGTTTTTTTTTTTTACGTTCGATGAACATCCAGGCGTTCTTTCTCTCTACGCGGCAATGTTCCAAATCCATTGCTCGATGCCGGCTTGGTCAGCCCGTTAGACGATTGTCGATCGACTACAACGATAACAGTTCCAAGCGACAACCACCACATCACACATACAATAGGTGTATCATAAACCGATTAAAACAAACGGCACACTCATCTCTGCGATGTAAAAAGGTCCACAGCTGCAGAGCGAGCCGGTTTCTCCGCTCGAAATTGCACGGGAAAGGGGCTGGAGGATGCACCCGGGTGCCGTTAGTGAATCTGCCCGCGCTGTCGCACTGCTAGTCACACGCTTAACCATAGCCAAACGCACCACGTATCTATTTCTCAATTGTATTAGGTCATCCCATTCAAAAGTGCCGTGACATATAGAGGAACGGCAGAAAATCAAAGGGGATAGGGAAGCGGGTTACTATACCATTTGGAGGCTAGTACCTTCAGCTGTGTATCTGTAAAATTTGGCGAACCTACCCACAGAGGAAGTTCTCGAGCAATTGAAAAGAAGCCCGAGTGGTGAAAAATAGCGCCCGATTTTCAAAGCAGACGTCATAACACGGAAGTACGCTGCTCAAATTCGACCGGCCCAGGACCAGTAGTTGTGTGTAATGGTGTTCTCAAAATACAAGGTGAAAGGTTTGGTTCAGGAGCTCGAAGAAGAAAGAAAGGAAAAAAATTTTTGTTGTGGATGATCCCATAATGTTCATCGTGCACAAGAAAAAAGGGTGGATGAAGTCAAGCGCTGAATGCCCGATCCCGGAGCCTGGACCTTGTCGAGCTTCCCGCAAGTCTGACATCCCAGGTGCAACTGCTGCCCGAGTTATGACCTGTACACTGAGTATGGTCAAGAGGGTGTGCGCACGGATACCAAGTTTTCTTATAGAAGCACGAACGCAGAAACGATTCTATACCTCTACAGTAATGCTCTCAGCATGAGATGTCATTCACGACTGTGAAAACGCGCCCCGGCCCTGACGAAATATGGGTGGTCGTGGACCTCGAGTCAAAAGTTACAATCGTCAATTTTGTATGAATGCAGATGAGAAGCCGCCCGAGTTCTACCATGAGGGGTTACTTTGGCACAAGTGGATGATGATCATAGCGAAGGATTCCCACTGTGACTTCCAGGTATATAGAGAATAAAATCGTCGCTGTCGGTGTATATTGCCTGTGCCTCGCCAATCAGATCGACAAATGGATAATACTGCACAACTACAAGATGGCGACCGATGCTCGTCATAGTGCCAAACCCCGAGTAACTGTATACAGGGCAGTACTAGGACATAAACAACACTGAGACCTGGGTTCAATCGACCCATTCGCCCGATATAAAAGCCGAGCGGTTCCAATTGTTCTCGTCAGTCAAGAGTACTCTCCGACGGCAAGCGCTGCAATGTTTTGTCAATCGCCGAAATTGGCATCAACAGCAATTTACTCGCACTTGTTGAAAAATCGAAGGTACCAGGGGTCCAAAGGCTTTCGGGGCACTGGCAGCGGGTCATTTTGGTGAAGGAGGGATTTACTTAACTTGGAGCCAAAATATTACTCTTTTATCTATTCTTCTCTTTGTTTTATTCGAAAAAAACCAACGGCACTTTTGAATGGGATGACCTAATAGTTGTTCTCTAACGCTGAGTGCACGTTTCGCTGCGAAATCTTGGTATCGACGCAAGTGCTGAATCTTGAGGACAGCCCCAGGGACGGAGTCTCAAATAACACCCCGGTATCATATCCCTTCACCCACATTTCTGCGAGCTCTCAAGTGCCGGAGGAGTGACACTTGTTCGGGTACCTACCCATTATTCTCGCATATGACAATGACGTCCTCGAAGCGAGTGCACAGTTTGTCTTCAAACACATTCTAACCACTACAATAACAGAAGTTTCGATGATTTAGAGAAATCGAACTCACACATGATCACTTTGAGATCAGTTTTGCTCGACGTTGGTTGTTGAATTGACATCAAATGACGGCATTCTGGATGAAAGGAACCATACACACACCACCAACACAACACAAAACTTCCATGAAAAACGCTCGAAAAACGATTGCAGTCACACGAATAACAGCCATAACTTTTAGATTACATGCTTTTACAAGGTTCGATCTGCGCGCCAGCTAGAGATGTTCACTGCATTCTAGGCAATGGGACGATTGCTGGGGTGGGAGGATGTGGCCGAGGTCATTGATAGAAGGGCTAACATTGAGTGGTGGCCGAAAGTCCTCTCGCAGCAATTCCACAACTGACGCTGCCACAACCGCCCGCCTCCAGCAACCGTGCCCACTACTTCAGAAGCGGCGTAGAAGTTTTCAAAAAAAGACAACGTTTGCACGATATATGGATATTCGCAGCCTCGAATTTAGCCACATCAACTCCTTGACTAGATGCAACGACAACTTCAGTTTCAAATGGTATCGAATTACTATTTCCATTACTGGAAACTTCAATCATAGAGGAGGCCGTAAACCGGATCATCTACAGTGAGCATAAGGGTGACTGGGTTATCGGAGCATTGAACCTTTGGAAAGTTCCTACGCAAACACTTTTTCTTTTCATGACATGTTCACTTGTAACTTTTTCACTAGTACGCTCACGAAAATGAGATTCCAACTCCTCTCATCTTGAAACCTCGGCATCGTCGACGATGTTTTGTTCTTCTGTTTTTGCCAACGAGGTTTGTAGGTGAAAATCCTTTATTCGGCCAACGCTTCGACCAGTTCGTCGTCATTAAAGGCCGTCTTACACCACAAGAGTGTAGCGAAGAGCTGCGCTCGGTTAGTATTAGAAAGTTAATAAGCGAAGCTCAGAAGAACGTCGTACCGCTCTTTACTCGGGATAATGACCGAACAGTTTATGAATCTGATAGAATAGCCTGATAACACACCTTGTGGCTGCGAGATATCCTGCTTCTCAATCTTCTTTTTGCCCTTACGACGTTCCCGCACCTCAGGCGCAGACGCCTCTTTAGACTTAGATGAGCTGTCTCCACCTCTTATATCCAGCTGCTCATACAACTTGTGACATAGACGTCGCATCTTACTGAAAACCACTATCATCTTGGAAGGGAAGGGTGGAAATAGAACCACCGATGCTTTTATACTGCTTCTCTACTTTAGAGAAAATAGACTCACTCCTGACCACTCTCATTCAACTTCACGTACACCTCGGTGATTTCCTTCTTAATGTCAGCACGAACACGTTGCACAAGAGCTTCTTGTTCTTCCTAAACCAGTAGCAATAAATAAACTTAACCTGTATAATATGGACCAGTTTTTAACAACGGATTTCTACTGTTCTTTTTTTGTCAAGAAACAGAGGTTAACACTCACCGAAAAAGCTGTTCGTTCTAGTTCTTCACGATATTCGTTGAATAAGTCCAGGAGTTTTGCAAACGTTGGGCGTTTTTCAGGCTCCACCTGAGAGTAAGAAATTCAGAAGCTAAAATTTTTTCAGAATATCTACGTGAACCTTACATATTTAAGACCAACATATATTGTTCAACTAAAACGACGTGCCTGTGCTCAAGGGGTAAGGAGAGGAGAGATTATGCTCAAAAGATCAACGAATGAAAAGTGAATAGAAAATGGATGGATGGGAACAGATAAAAATAGCGATGGGAAATTATTGAAGCCTGTCAGGCCTGTTCGCAGTTCGGCTCCGTGGGGGCACCAGATAGTACACAGCTAAGCCAGTACAGACCACATTGCGAAACCTGTGAATTCCTGTGACCAAAACTGCTCCGTCCAATAAGTTCGCAGCTTTACAGGAGTTTACTAGTGTAGCAAAATGCCCCTCAAGCCAATCAGCGCACAGGTCTCTTCTGCTGCGTTCATACTCTGTGGCAGCTTCCATCAGCGTTTCGACGTCCGTCAGTGTCGACGACTAGGACAGTACCGATATCGATTTAGCGAACGGCAGCATCTACTAGCGTCCAGGAATACAGTACTGTGTAGTAGTACAGTGCGCCACAATTGCACGTGCCTAATTCAGCTGTCTCCTCCCTCCTACTTTCCCATACTCTCTACTCCTGGACACTGGTGGACGTTGGCCTTCACTAAACCGATACCGATAGTTGCCTAGCCGCTAACGCTGACGGACGCTCGAAACGCTGATGCTCGCTTGTGGACGCTGCCGCAAAGCATGAACGCAGCCTATTCTGCTGACGAAAATCGTCTTTTGCATTTGTTAGCAAAGTTATCTAGCAAGTTATGACCACCACGTCATGATGATGAAAACACAAATTAAACAGCCAATTTGGAATTTTCCTAGTATAGGGCAAGGAGCACTGCTGGAAAACTTGGTGTTCGGACATGAGCACGGAAAAACAGTGAGCATTTTGGTCCATTTCAAGAAACAAACATAGCAACAAAAAAGTAGAAGACCCTGCACCCACATTCCAACAACTCTGCATTATGTCTTTCCATTTCAGAGGGCAATCGTCAGCGATAGGAAGATCAAATCCACTTGTCGAGACCTCAAATTACACTTCTACATCACAATAAAAAGCCTAGTAAATGCATTAAAAATAACACAAAAACGAAGAGGGAAACGAAAAAGATGACTAAAAACCCACGAGGTAGGCTACTGTGATAGGCAAGTGTCCTTGATGAGGATCTTTTCTGGTGAGCAATTCCCATAACACAACACCAAAACTCCAAACATCCGAGGCTTCAGAGTATTTCTGGCACTTGTATGCTTCTGGGGCCATCCAGGCATACGTTCCAACCAAGCTTTGACTAAAATCCAACATTTATTAACCCAATACACAAGACACTAAACTTGAAATTGAAGGATTAGTTACCGTTTCTCCTCCTCGTCTTTAATTTTTTTCGTATTCCCAAAATCAGTGATCTTCATCGTTAGACGGTCCAAAGCCCTACCTCCGCAACTCTGGCAGTATCCTTCGGCCTATAACATACAACACGGCATTCTCAAGGAATTGTGAAAATTAGTCTGGTGCCTCTCACCTGAGTCCCAGTGTGCCAGTACGTCGACTGAGGAGGGGTCGCAGGTGAAGCAACAACGTGGTTGCACAAACAGACACGCTCCTTGACCAGTACTAAATTACAGGGTTGGATCGGAAAATATGGCAATTTTAGGCTAATAATTATCTGAGAATCATGGCTATATGAGAGCTACTCTCCCGTTGGAATAGTAGATTTGGAAGTAAACAACAATATGTACAATTAACCCCAACATCTTGGTGTGAAAGGCGTAAACAACCACTAACGTCGGATATGTGGCCACCAATGATCCGTCCATAGCTAGGGACAACGAATTAACTCCCCTCTGGAAGTCCACTCCCTCTGGGAGGAATGGTCAAGAGCGAATTCAATCGAGTTAGAGCTGGACTAACAGTGTTGTAGAAGAGCTGAGGCTCCACAGGAGCATGCATAAAACAACGAAAACCGGACTTTATGGTAGAAGTTAGTTCCTCAGTGGGATCCTGCCTTCTAGATCCATTACACCATTAAAAAGTTACTGTAACTACCTCTGATGTTTTCAATGCCTTTTTCAAAAACAATCCTAGCGCTCAAGCAACCGCAGGCGTCCTTTCTAGTACAAGTGGTCTGGTCCCCAGTCTCGGGAACTGTCTTACTTTTGCGGCTTCGCTGTAAGTAACGAAGACGCCTCCGCACCCAAAAGTGGCAGAACTGGCGCTTACCAAGTTGTGCCGCCCACTAAAACTCGAAGACTATTTTCTGTCACGAGTTCAGTTTAGCGCCGTGTTTTCGTTTTTCTTTTTCACTGGCAGATGGCGTCAACACTTCATGACGTGAGAAAAACGACTGGTAGCAGAGGGGTAATATTACGTTGTCCGGAAAGTTCTCAGCGTTTTGAGTGTTTCACTTTAAACGATCATAACTTTCTTAACACTCGTCGGATTTAATCGAAATAAACACCGTTCGAATCAGTACACTTTTGCCAATGTGACACCAGTCGAGAAATTCCATCAAAGGTAAAAACTGGGTATTTGAGAATCTGCGGAATCCATGAAGGCTTTTTTGCCTGGTCCTAACTAATGAAGTATTTTCCAGCAAGGAAGTTCTGAAAATGTTCGAAAACGTGATAGTCGGTTGGTGAAAGGTCTGGAGAATATGGCGCGTAAGGTAGAACTTCAACCTCCAATTCATTCAATTTATGGATAGTGATTTGTGAAACGTGTGGGCGGGCGTTGCCATGCAGAAGAATCGGACCCTCTCTGTAGTGTTGGCTGCAGCTGACATTTTCGTGAATTTCGTCGATTTCTTCACAGTAGGACTCGGCTGTGACGGTTTGGCCTGGTGACAAAAAGTTATAGTGGATCACATCAGCCGATGACCACCTTACTGCGACCATAACCTTTTCTCGTGAGGATTCGGCTTTGGAAATTGCCTCAGGGGTCCGCCGGCATCCAACCACTGTCCGAAAGGTCTCCTGTTATCATACATGATCTCCTTTTCATCACACGTGACAATTCGGTCCAAAAGCGGGTCGTTTCTGCTGTGCAAAAGCAGTGAAGAAGAAACCTCGAGACGAGACATTTCTGCCGGTCACTCAAATTGTGGGGGCACCCACTTGTGGACTTTTTTCACCTTCCCAATGCGTTTCAGACCATCCGCAGCAGTGGATTTGCCAACGCCTAGCTTTTCTGCAATCTCTCGAAGTGTTTGGGATGGGTCAGCCTCCACAAACGCCTTCAAATCCTCATCAGGTATTGCTTTAGGTCGACGAGAGAAATTTGTCGAGCCATTGTCGCACGGTGCTTTCTCCAATACTGGTGGGCCCCCACACCTGGTTAATTTATCGAGCTCTCGACTGCGGATTGACCCAATTAGTAGTTGAAGAACAATATCGTCCGAAGTTGCTCTTTTGACATGCTGAAAAACTCTCGAAAAAAGGGGGGCGATCAAGCAATGGTGAAACGGCAATTATACCATCAGATAGCGCAAAGAATTCTCTTCAGGATGTACTACTGAGACGCAAGGGAGAATGAGTTTTTGATCAGCAATGAATGTACAAAAAATAGTAACACAAAACGCTGAGAACTTTCCGGACAACCTAAGATATCGCTTTGCTGGCATAAAACGAGCAGGTTCGGAATGCTCGCACAGTGAGGCTGGCAGGAGGTTTTACTTGAGATGCTCTCCATTAATTTGTTAGTTTTTTCTCCGTGGAAAAGTCATTTAGCGACTGTAGGTTTGTAATCGAACACCACTCTCCACAATATGCAATTGCGGGGTTCAATTTAAGAAGGGCCAAACAAGCTGATGGTGGGTTTCCCGTCTCTTTGGTGACAACCTCCTGCATTTAGGTAGGGATAGCAACAAACGGTAGTAGTGCAAAAGGATTGATCGTATAAGCACAACCTAAATAGTTTATGGTGTGATGGAGTGAAGTGGACCATAGAGCTCTAAAGTGCTACATTTAACGCGCATCGCACTGGCACCATACCCTATCGAACATATTGCTGATTTCCTGCCATTATTAACTGGCAAACGTTCATTTGAACAGCCGAAAGAGAATATTTTTTGAAATAATACGTACCGTTGTCGGCTTTGAGATCTCTATGCATAAGATTTTCCGAAGCAAGACACTTCATGGCTGAAGCGATTTGTGCAGCCCAGTCGACAAGCACCCTCACGGAAATGAATGAATTGACCAGAGTCTGACACAATCTTTTCAGTGAACCACCTAAAATGCCCTTCATCATTGAATCGAAAAATCAGAGTCACCAGACCTTAGCTTCAAAAGCTGGCCGTTATGAATGAGAATAAAATATTTCTCCCACAATAACGTTGTGTACGTGAAAGGACGTACGCATAAAAATGCATTGTAAAAGCCACTTGACAATTCTGTCGCTTTTAATAGCGAATTCTTGGCATTCCTCACATAAGCACTGGAGCAACCCTTAAATTGGCACAAATCACTAACCGTCGCAAAGTTCCAGTACTAAGCCGATACGCGGTTGTTCAAGGCAGACTCCCACAAGATGAATAATATTGGGATGTCGAAGTCGATTAATTACAACCGCCTCTCGTTTCAGGACTGTAAAAAGATCAACTTCTACAAAAAAGCTACAAAAGAATGAAAATCAAAGAAGGTTAGTTATAGGACAGAGCGCAAACCTTCAAGGTCAGAAGTGTCACGTACTTTTTTCAAAGCGACGAGCTGAAAGCACTAGATTTAGAGGATGGACTGTGGAGGTAATACATTGGCACTGTTCAACTATTACTAACCCAATTCTCCGAAACGGGCCGGATCTTGTCCGACTTTTTTATTCGGGGGCAGATTTGGCTGAAAGTTGGGTTCCAGGGTAATTTGACCTTCTGAACACGAATATCGTATCCACTCCTCCCGAAACTGCGTGGCGCCCGCGCCACAGGCGCCGGCGCCAAAGTACCCTAGATCACCAAATCCGCTGAAAACTTGTGCCCAGGGGTAGTTCGACCTCCTGAACACGAATATCGCATCCGCTCGCCTTGAAACCTCTCGACGCCTGCGCCACAGGCGCCGGCGCCAAAATGCCCCAAATCACTGGCGCCTGTGGCGCAAGCTCCAGGACTTTCAGGCCAAGTGGATGTGATATTCGTGTTCACGAGGTCGAATTACCTCCAGACCCCAAATTTCAGCCAAATCTGCTCCCGCAGAAAAAAGTCGATCAAGATCGGCCTGTTTTCGCAAAACTGGGGTAGTAAAGTTGAGTAGTGCCAATACATTAATAAAAATAATAACATGAATTTGAGAAGAAAACGTACTGGAGAAAAGCTGTACATGCAAACCACAATAACGAATGTATTTCAGGGGCAGTTCGGAAACGGAGGGGAGGGAGGGGAGGGGAGGGGCGGGGGGGGGGGGAGGGGACGACCGAGTTGCACTTTTGCCACTCCCCATCGACGTGTTGAGCTACCCAGAGCTTACAATAAATGACAGGTTTGACCATGGTGGCTCAACGAGCTTGCTCCAGCTTCACAAGAGTTCACAAGTTTCACCAGAGTGAGGCATGTAAATCGGAACTACTGAAGCAACAAAACTGCAGAATGCCCCTTCCTCCCTAGATGCCGAACTGCGCCACAATCACAAGAAACTGCTGAGGTGAACAATTCCATACCTCTCCTTCATAAACAACTTTGAAGACTTCGGCTGATGCACCCCTTCCTATATACTCTTTACCAGATGGTAATTCAGAGATCTCATCCGCTGCTATTATCTTGGCATCAGACCCTGAACAAAAAAAGTTAAAATCGCAAATGATACGCAAATCAGAGAAATTGTATTCAGCAACCCACCCAAAAGCTTCACATAGTTTCCAGGAAACAAACCGCGTTTGCCATCTTCACGTTCACCGTAAAACCATGACTCTTCCTCACTAAAAACCGTATGTAGGATTAATCATGAACTAGAAAAGCAATGGGTTGTGGCTGTCATGAAGAAATATTGAGAACAAGGAGTGCGTTCATACTTTGCGCGCGCGCCTTGAGCGACTAGGAAAGTATAAATATTGATCCAGCGCTTGATGATATGATCAGACATCGTTTCCAGAGGCTGCCCGTGGAAAGCTCAAAACCACTGAACGCTGAAAGCTGCCGTACGCTAGGTCGATATCTACCCTAATTATAAGTCGTTTGAAACGCTGAAGTACGCTCGAAGCGCTCAGAGCGCTGCCCCATATTTAAAACGCTAACGCAAAGTATGAACGTAGCACAAGGGAATCCGAAAAAAGGCTTCATCTTAAAACAATCAACCCACGTTTTCCTTATTAGCTTCACGGTCGTACCCGCAGTAAGGTTCAGTTCGTCGTTATTTCGAGCTTCATAATCGTACAAAATTTCAAAAACCTGCAAAGAAAAAGTTACGGAATAACCCATGCAGTAACAGAGAAAGCACTGAAAAATAAAAGGAAAAACTCCGAGCAAGGACCGTTCATACTTTGCGTCACTTTTGAGCGTTCACTAGTGTTCCGAGACACTGCCCGCCTAGAGCTCGCGAAAACGCGCAAATGCTGGTTGACGCTCAAGACGCTAGGTCTATCCGTGCTTCCTATTAGTTGAAAACGCTGCTGCATGCTCACATACGCTAACGTACAAAACTACGAAAAGTACGCATGCAGCCTAAGGCCGCGTTCATACCTCTCGCCGGAGGTTCAAGCGTTTTGGAAGAGTGGAACGTATAGGAATCGACTTAGCGTCTCGAGAGGAACGCCATCGTCCTGGGCGATGAGGAAAGCATGGATATTTTTAGCGAAGTGCTAGCGTTCATTCAAATCAATCTATCCTTCCCTTTTCGTCCGTCAGAATGCCGACGAAAAGTCTGAAGGTAGGCTATCCTGACCCTACCTTTATAAAGCCGTCAGGCCAGTTACGAGTACTTTTGAGCCAAAAAGGTCATCTGA